TGTGACACCGGCTTGCTTGGGAACGCACGAGAAGGAAAATACTCTCCTTATTTTGGCTTTGAGCAACCTGGTCTAGTGGGAGGTGTTCCTGCCCGTGGCAGGGGGGTTGGAACTCAATGATCTTCAAGGTCCCTTCCAAACTAAACCCCTCTGTGATTCTGATTCTGATCGCCTCTAAAATGCATTTCCCTATTTTTCTTGTTTCGACACAGTTCCGGCATCTTGAGATTACCGGTTTACCTGGGAAACAATTTTATTCTCCCTCCTTTCGCAGAGACAAACGCGGGGACGGGTACAACATTTTCAGGGGAAATAATGATTCTGCTTTTCCCCTCTCAACCTCACAATAATTTTAATTAGAGTATCTCCAAGAAAAACAGCCGGCCCTTTAAATCAGTTATAAAACCAGAAGACTTAGTCTCAGCATGTAGTGTCAGCTTTAATTATCTGGGCAGTTATAGCTGTATGTTATAAAAGTCGGGCAATTAGATGCATTCCTTAAAGCTGCGAAAAAAAATTGCTAGCTATAGAGTCAAACATATAACTGTTAATTGCATGAAACATTCAGCAGAATAAACCGGCGTGTAGATCATCCTGCAAAATACGATGAAAACGGGAATGATTAAATGCTTAAATTTGTTTCCAACGTAGATGTTGGGGATCAAGGTATTGTTGGTGAATGTACGATTCACCGTTAGAGTTTTGCTGCCGGGCTGGTGAAGCCAAACATCCCCAAAGCCCATCAAAGCCTTTCTCTTCCCATCAACCATGATGGTCCCATGCCTAACACACCCCGGGGGTCTTTTGCCCCTTTTGCGGGTGCTGAAGAGTTGGGTGTAGGACCTACGTTGGTGAGATCCCTTCTGTCCCACTCACACCTGAATTTCAAGCTCCTTTTTTGCCATTTGCTTTCTCGTAGGAACCAACTTACACTTTGTAAGGAGCCCCCCAGCCAACAAGGTGATAAAGACACGCTACAGGATAGTGAAGAAGAACGTGGTGTCTCCAGCCTTGTCATCTTTCAGCAGCCCCGGTCCCAACTGGAAGACGAAGCGCCCCGTGACATCCAGGTAATTCTTTCATCCCTTGAATGCAGCTGGTTGGGATACGGGAGCCGAGGGAGCTCCCGTGTTGGCTCCGTGTTATTACCGTTGCATGTTCGTCGCTTAATTTCTCTATTTGTTTAGCCGCTTCTACGCAGAGTTTATTGACTTAAAGTGTAAAATCGTATTAGTAATCACGTTAGCCCGAGTCGGCGGCCAACAGCTTACTGCAGTCTGGGGCTTCATATTTATTCCCCGTTTGAATTAATTGTTTCCATGAAGCGGTTAAATAAGCTGTAAGGAAGATGAATAAACGCACACAGCTTTTTTACTTCAGACCTAAGTAAACTTGCTGCTCTTTTTTTTTGGAGATAGATGTGGCCTGTTCATTAGGGATGGTCAAGCCTGCTAACGAGGCAAGACCTTCCCTCGACTTTATGACATTATTATGGAAATTGGTGCTCCGGAGGAACTTATTGAAAGCGTGTTGGAGGCAGATGTTCCAAACCTGTACCAGTAGGTAGGTGCAGGCACAGACTTGCTTTTTCCTGGCTTATTTGGGTGGGTGGAGCATCAGCCCAGCCCTGTAGCTAATAATTTGGTGTGCCAGCACCCGTCTGAAGAAGGGTGTCACCAAAGGATGGTGCTGTACCCTCGAATCTGAATCTTCCTAAATCAGCTGTGCTGACATCCATGTATCAGCTGCAAGCGAGCTGCAGCCCTGTTAACTGGTGGAGATGTTACCAGGGAACATCTCAGAGGCCGTGACAAAGTCTAGAAGTTGCGTATAAGCAGAAAGGTCGTTAACGGTAATTGATGCTCTGAAAAACGGTGCTATTAGAACTATTGGTTTTGGTTATAACCCAGATTCTGGCTATTCTTAGGTCGAGAATACTTCTCCTCCCCCTGAAATGCTGGTTTGCCACTGTCACAGGCAATATTTTGGGCAAAGAAATCCTGTTCTGCTCCCCTGTGGGCTTTTTGGTTTAGTATTCAGTCCAGTGTAGCAAACCCGAGGACTGGGGGATGCCGTGGGCTGTCCCCCACCATCGGCTCCTCCGACGACACGGGTCGGCATCATCACCCCGCTCCGGGGGATTTCTTCCAAAAGTTATTTCCCCCAGCAATGCCCCAAGGGTTGATGGCTTTTATGGTGGGTTCTATAGAGAAAGAAGGATTGCAGTGATTGTTTTTAAAGCTTAATTTTGCCTGCTTTTTCCCTATACTAAGTGATTTTGGCTTTGAGTTTCACAAATATTGCTGTCTGAAGGGAGGATTGGTTTTGGAAGACTTCAGGGTGGTGAGGCAAAGTAGCAGGTAAACAGAGGGATTTAAAAAGGTGTTTATTTTCAAACATTTTTTTAAAATATAAAATTAGGGCTATTATTTTGTCTTGTTTTTTTCAAGCTCTTAGTTGAGAAACTCCTCGTCTCATGTTCTATAACGGCCTCGGTTTCAAAGTGCTGCTTCTCCTATGAAAACTGTGGGATCCTTTTGGGCTAATGGCTGATTTCCACCCAAATTTTTTTGCCATCAATGTTACCTGCACCGCCTCCTCCTTTTTCTTCACCTTCTACTTTTGGCTTCGATATCTTCCCACCTGTGCATCGTGCCCTTTTATCCAGTCCTGAGATCGACACGTCTCCTCTTACTCCCCTCCAAAAGCAGATGATTTGCCTCCGCCGCTGCAATTTCTGCTTCGCTTTTAGGTGCCACCTCCATTTGCATGTCCTTGACGCCAACTTCTTGCATTTTCCTTGCCCCAAACAAACCCCAGATTCTTTTTTTTTTTGCTCCCTTATTTGCATTTTCGTTGAATCAAGGCAGCATGTGTGCGCATCTTACCTGCCAGTGAGAGGTTTTGATTGCTAACCGCTCTCAGGCAACGATAGAAAGCCGGACCATCAAATAAGTAATCGTTGTGTTTCTTCTTTGGCCCCAAACCCAGCTTTTTTAAAACATTATTATTATTTTTTTCAAAGTGTGGCTTTTGCATTGTGAACGTACAAGTGTGTTAGGTAAAATCTTAAATTATATTGCTTCTTAGAGGTCCATAATTTGCTGCGGGTAATTACGATGCCTGGGATTTTGTGTACAAATGAAGATTTGTTTCTGGTGGCTTTTAATCTCCTCTTTTGTCCTGCAGTGTTGAAGTAATGCTGTCTCTGGTTCTGGTCACTCCTGTAGCTACAATGGCTGATGTTCAATTCAAATTGCCCCAAATGAGCGTATTTACATCTGCATTGCCACGCGTCTTGCCTTTTCCCATCCCCAGCCCGGTTTGCTGCTTTTTTTGGTCCCGAACCAGCCGTTTTTAGCAAATCCTTCTCCTTTTGTTTAGGTGGAAACAGCTCCTCTTTTCTATTTTTGGTACTGGTAGTCCTGTTCATACCACCCTTCTCCCTCTGTCACTGCTCTCGCTGCAAATCCTGCCCGTTTATTGGTGAAAACGTTGATTTTTGTTGCCAGTTTTCCTTTTTTCTTTTGAAATGTTTTGTGAGGGATCTGGACAAAACTGCTGCTTTAGTGTCTCTCTGCTGTTACCGCGCCTCAACTGGGATCTTGAAAGAGAAAATGTGAGCCAGGCAAGGCTCTCCCTTCTCCATAATCATCCCAGTTTTATTCCTGGGAGGGGAATTTGCGTCTCGTCCTTGCTGTTTGTTGGTGGATTCAGTTCTGCAAACACTTTCCCAGCTGGTGAAACGTGATGATGTTTTTGCCCCTTGATGCTCTTTATAGCGAATCATCGGGTCGTACTCTGACGTGACATTGCCCAAAAGTATTATCCTGTTGATATACAAGCCCAACTCACGAAACCCATTTGGGCATCGGTGGAGAGGGAGGGGAGGGGAGAGGAGCTTCTCGTAGCCATGTCAAATTTAGTCCGCTGCCCCTTGATGAAGTGCAGATATGTGTGTTTAATCGATGCTGTAATAGATGACTAACTTGGTTTCCCAGAGAAGCTGTGGCTGCTCCATCACTGGAGGTGTTCAAGGCCAGGTTGGACGGGGCCTTGGGCAACCTGGTCTGGTGGGAGGTGTCCCTGCCCGTGGCAGGGGGGTGGACTAGATGATCTTTAAAGGTCCCTTCCAACCCAAACCGTTCTATGATTCTATGAACTTCAGCCTTAGTTAATAGAAAACAACTCGTGCTCCGACTATTCAGCTCATGTTCTTCCGTGGTTGATCGATGGAGGACCTGCAGTGAGAGCTGAGGAGGGCAGGAGCTTCAGGCAGGGTCTTGGGGCAAGGTCAGAGCAGAAGTCTCTGGCTGCTGGGTGGTGGGTCTTGTTCAACCGAGCAGTGATTTTGCAGAGGAGCGACCTGTTCATGCCACCGTGATTGGCTGAGAGCTCCCACTTGTAGAATAATTTTATCCGTATTAATCTTTGACTTCATTACGTGATGTAGTTTAGATCTTACGGCTGTTTCAGACAAATCTTGATAAAATGCCATCAGCAAATTAAAACAATTATATTTTAAAGAAACAATAAATCTCTTACTCAGTCTCCCTATTACCTTCCTTGTGTGTGATCAATCATCTAGACTGTCAGGAGTAAGCACATGGCAAATGCTTCTCCTGGAGATTTTATGGTGTTTTTTTCTCCATCGTTCATAGCATCCTCTTGGACCTGTAACAGGGAACGAGCCGGGAGCTGCTTTTGAGCTGTTTTGCGTTGTTTTTGCCAAAACAACAGGCATCTTCAGTGGCGGTGGGACACGCCGTGCATGCCTGCAGCACTGCCTTAGTCACCTCCTCATTTTTATCTTTCAGTGTGTGTCATACTGAATGGTCAACTATTTCTTTTTAATATCCTTTTCACCTGAAGCCAAAAGGTTGGTGGTGCTGCAGTTGAGGGCTGCCCCCAAATTGGGTTCTGGCTGATGCTAAGGGGAAGTTCCTACTATGAAATCCATGTTTTGAGGTGTCCAAAAGCGATGTGCAAGGGTTTTGCACGGCCACCAATCTTTTCAGAGTTAATATACTGCCTCAATAAACTTTAGTCAGGAGTTGTGTTCTTGTCCATCTTGTGAACTTGCTGTCATTAAAGACGTTTATAGGATTCCCACCTCTCTTTTTCATAGAATCATAGAATGTTTTGGGTTGGAAGGGACCCTAAAGATCATCTAGTCCAAGCCCTCTGCCATGGGCAGGGACACCTTCCATTAGACCAGGTTGCTCAAAGCCCCGTCCAACCTGGCCTTGAACACCTCCAGGGATGGGGCATCTATTTTGGGGTACCTATGCTGTAGTTTGCAGCAAGAAACCTTACTGGGGCATCCGGGCCATTGCCCTTATCGCCAAGAAACTTCTGCAAATTATCAGGCTAAGATCAAACGGGACATGTCTTTGGGAAATGAGTGACGGGGAGAGTCGCTGCAGGTCTGGAGGTACCTGGTGCTAATCCCTCGGTGATGAGTTGCGTTCTCCCCTTATTGCTAGGTTGCATTAAACTTCGCCCCGCTGCTGACTTTTCTTAGAGGCGATAGATGGGAGTATATTTTAAATTAATTTTACTACACTTTTTGTAATATTTTTGTTTTAAATAGATTTATAAGCAACTTGGGGGCTATTTCTCCAAATTTATGAAGATAATTTTCACTCTCTTGATAAGGTTAAATTTACACCTGCTATTTCCATATTAATTCACATTGCTAAGTGGATCTAATTTTCTTCCGTTCTTCTATCTAGCGAGTGTGGCCTTTCCTAATGCAATTTCCCCCTCACTAAATCACTGTGATCGGGAGTCATGATCGAGTTAAATTAACTTAAATTAATTTACTTAATAAGAGCTCCAGATCATTGTGAATGAGGTTAAGATTTATTGATTCTCCTTTTCACTCCTCCCCCTTATCTCTCTCTGCGTTGCGGGAGCGCGGCTCAGAAGGGCTGTGATTTGCTTGCCTTAAATTTCATTTGCTCCTATTGACATTGCGGTTGGTCATCGCTTAGAAATCACGGGGGGATGTTTGCTCCCCGCGCAGCCGCCGGGAGAGGGCTGGGCTGAGCCGGTTGCGACAGAGGAG